CGTTTTGTTTGTAGTTAAGTGTTTTCGCAACTATAGTGATGATGCTATCTGTTCAAGTACACCGAAACTCCTGTTGATGATACCCATCCGTCTTCCATGGATACACTTATCAGAATCTGAATACAGAATAGACTGAACTGTGCGAAATAGACAAAAAAGACAATCAATCACATATGTATTGTTTTCTTTCCTCTTTCCATCCTCTCATTTACAAACACACTTATTTGTAATCTATCTTAGTGCGAAACTAGTAAACGGCTGAACTCATCCTGACCGTCCCCATATTATTCTATAGTCCACCACTACTCACGTAGTTGGAATGAATTGTTTCCGAACACCGCTATATTGCGCTCCCTCCCCACCCTCTCACACACACACAGTGGAGAATTGTGCGCGTCAGTTTTGCACTCGACCAGTCCAATTCGACCTTCATCCACGAGTACACAGTCATTCATGCGCGCGCGCTCACACCCACACACTTGCACCGACGTGTATGCATCACTTCACAAATTATCGTTTATCCTACCTCGGATATTGTGGATTTCGTTCTGGGCAACCGGTCCGTTTCCCTTCGCCTCTCTCTCTCTCCCNCCCCCCCCCCCCCCCGAACTTCACGTTCACTTGGTCAGACAACGATTCTGATCAAATAAATCAAACCAAACAAGCAAAAAAATTCACGCATGCTGATCATCATCATCAACCTATACGAGAACTAGCTCAAACCTATAGGGTGTCGGCTTGTTTCATCCGATGCTCAGTCAAACCATGCCCCACCCCCACTCCCTTTCCACCCGCAGCCACGTTTTGTACTCGTCTGCAAGTACAGCAGCAATAAATTTGTCCATACTGATCAGAGTAACACATGCATAAACCATGTGGACCAATGCGATGGCTAACGCTGTCCTCTCTCACTCTCCGTTGTTCTAATCCGATCCACCTGATACTTTTCTCTTTGTCTCTCTCTCTCTCCGTATCTCATGTTCTCCGATTTCCCTGGAATACACACACACACGAAAGCGAGCCGGAGTCTGTTTTTTTTTTATTAGATCAATAATTACTTGGCTCTGTTCCTCATGTTTCACTTTGGTGCATCAGTTACTCTAGAATAGACCGATCATGACAGAATGCGTAGTGTTTCGATTTACGACTGAAATGTGTCGTTGATGATGATGAGGAGGAGGAGGAGGAGGATAGTTTAATAGTTTCCCGTCTGGACGGTCATGACGATTATTCTATTACTGTGTTTGAATCATTCTAGCCCCTGGGCTATGTGAGTCTGAATAAATCAAGAAAGTGCAGTTCGGGCACTCACACGGGACGAAATTCTTATCCTCCTCCACACACACACGCCCCACTATCCTACTCATAACTATCGAGTAGTGTATAGCGTGGAGTAAACGTGAACGGCACTCCCCGCCCCTCATCCTATCGAAAGAAAACAAAGTGATTCGAAGTTGAATGGGTGCAACGGATAGATCGAAACGTCTACCTGCACGAGAACAGATTGATCACGGAGTCCGTGTAGCATCATCATCATCATTATTATCCTGCTCCATGTGTCACCACATGTGTCGTCGTCACAACGATCCAATCCCTGGGTCCGGAGTTGAACCAGATAGAACAATGACAAACTAACAACTGTGCCTATACGCCCAGACGGTTTAGTCGGTTGACATTATATTTTTCCAGTCTACGCACTCTGGCTAACTTTCACATTGTATACACGGAAATGACTGTGCGAACTGATCTGAACATATCCAAATCTGAATAAAACCCGGACGAGAAAGGCACGAGGGCCGCGTTTTCGATTGTCAGTTGACATTCAGTGTCCAGTATTCTGACTGTGGTCACCAAGATGATTCCCTCGGCTTGAACTTTGACGAAAGCGAATCACATCACTACCACCACTGCTATTGCGTAACATTGTGCATCCATTTGTCTTCTTATGTTTCATTCCCTGAGGTTTAGATCACCAATGTGAACCGTTTTGATAGATTGGATGTTGTAGTATCTATATATAGTCAGACTCTCAACGTTGAAATACAACAAGATTTGAGAATCCCTATCAATCCCTTCTTTTTCTTCCACAGCGAACGAACATCGAATACCTGACGGATTGTCAGAACTACTCCAACCGTATCACCTATACATGTGCCTGTAAAATTGTCTTTCAGTTTAACAAATGAGATCGGTCTGCACTGCTTTTGTGTGTGTACAAAGGTCATTTGTTTCAAGGTCGTCTTGATCCTAATGAGACAATCGCCATCTGGTTCGCATTGCTGTTCACAGCAATACCTGTAGATGCTTCCTGTTACCAGTCGCTGTGGATCGGACATTGTATGCACATCATCTGGCGGATAGTGGGGTCCAAATTCAGCTTGTACATTCAGTCCGGGGTCGGTATCATTCATCCAAGGCATCCCTCGCGCATGCGCGCGCGCACACACACGTGTTCTCTCTCTCCGTCTCTTGGTCTCTTGGTCTTTCTCGTTTCATCCCGAAGCACACATCCAGTCTGTATCTCCCCTCGTTCAGTACTATGAATGATCGATTTTTTTCTCTCGGGATTCAGAGCCTAGTCACACGAATGCGTGCATATAGGCCTGGAAAATCGACTTTGCGCTCGTGCCCGTAAACTACACAACCGATGGAAGCCCGATATCAGGAACCGGGGCTAGAGGCACAGAGATTGCAAGAAGAAAGAGACTGATTTGCGCATAGGCAGCCTGTGGTTCGGGGTGGGGAGGAGTTAGATAGCTCTCGTGTCTGCTGCCCCGATGCACGATGCTGATTCATGCACTTGTTCAAGCAACAAGCAAACCATGCTTGCCTCAACTCGCCCGAATGGAACCACGTGAATCCGATACTGACATACGCACAGCGCACCCATCTTACACTTGACTTCGTGTTTCTGCTATTTTACTTGTCTAAGTTTTGCTGTGCCCATGTGTGCCTACCTGTATGTGCGTGCGTGTGCGCGTGCTTATGTGTGTATGCCTGTTCCATTGTGCCATAGCGCACTCCATTCTGTGCTGCTCTGACCTGTCAGTTACGTAGTAGTAGTCGAACGATCAACAACTCTAACTGGGTTCACATTACAAGCGTGACCGTTGTATCAATCTCTGTTCTCATAGTCCGTTAGTAATATATGTACACCAGTTAGACTCTCACTTTTAAAACGACAGCACTTTTCCAATGACTGAATAAACCCCTATCTACATTAGGCTGTTTTCGCAACCGAGAGATTTGGTCTTTCTTTTTCATGAATTAGCACTATGCCCTGAGGACGGTTTTTTCTTTAATCATTTAGTTTGGAAACCTGGGTATCTGTTATCTCTTTCCAGTGATCGGCTTTTTACTCAAACACTAAAATCTATCGGCATCAGAACTATATTATGTTACGTTGATTCCTCATTTCCACTTGATCCTCTTCTCGATCCGGTCATTTTCTTCACGGTGCATCATCATCAACATTATATCCCGCCGGAATTCGTACGTTCAAATCCCACCACCAACATCACCTGTGTGCGCCCAGACCGCGCCTGATTGGTACCAGTTCTTCCTCAGCCACTCCCTTTCCTGAAAGTTGATTGTACCGTTGTTTTCAGTACAAGGGAATAAAAAAAATTGGTATGAAACAGAACAGAAATTTATAATAGTATTCGGATGGTGGGGGTGGACGGAAAAGATGCTAAACTTCGCCGTGTGAGAATGATTACGTCACACCATATCTGTCGAATAAAGGCCATCTGTCCATAAACGTGCTCGTGAGAGAGAAAAAAGTGAGATTTGAAATAAATTGTACATCCTTCTGTTGAATTTTAGTGATTGTGTTGTTAGTGTAATGTTGAGTACTTAGTAAATAACAAAGTAACGTAAAATCTTCTGGAAATAAATTACGGTGATGATAAGGCCAACAATAGACCTGAGACTGGAGTGGAGCTAGCGGTTGCATTCAGTTGGTGTGCATCCTACAGCTCCATGTGTGGATCACGTGAGCTGATCCCCCCTCCCGTATTGTTCGCTCCATTGACTGATCAAAGATTCCGATCATCCAATCTCATACAGAATCCTGACTGTCCTGAACTGACGATTGTCTGAATTGAGTTTGTTTTAAATTGGATTTGAGGCAATTTTTCACGTGCAATACAGGAAACACATCATAACTCATCATATATCCACCAATCCTATTCGGGATCGAACTAAAGACAAAGCGCTCATCTCATCACTATAGCTTCCCAACTGCGATTGGGATCGATTAGCGGAAAATGACTAATCACACGAGATCCATGGATGAAACGGATCTCACCTAAACACTTCGTCGGCGTCGTACTCATCATTATCGAGGAAATTAGCTTGTCTTAGTCACGATTCAAAAACAGAAGGCGTTGGTGACAACTTTTCGACCCTCTTGGAAGGCCTTTCTCAAGTCGTCTAATCGGTTGATCTCACGTTGAAAGCGATTATAAGGCGATGGGATGATGACATCGTATAGAACTATGATGTGTTTCGAACATGCGCGTGTGCTGGTGATCGTTCGACGTGGTTGCTTTTAACGTGAGATTAACCGATTAAACGGCTTGAGAAAGGCCTTCCGCGAGGGTCGAAACGTTGTCACCAACACCTTGTGTTTTGGTTTTTCGTGAGTCGTGGTTAAGACAAGCTAATGTTCCGAGTAATGACTGTCGTAACTCGAGCAAAGCCCGTATTGATCGTGCCTCATTGTGTGCCGTTTGACTGAATCCATCTGGTTCGCTGTTCGATGACCACTTAAGTAGTCTATCCTCGTTCTGTTTTTCTGGTTGTTAAACCCTGCGACTTGATCTTTGTTGAAGACAATCAATGCGGATTTGATTCGGATAGCAAACAACACATGTGTTGTTCCCGTGCTTTTCAAGCTATCTTTGACGTGTACACGATTACGTTTTCTTCAAAGTAATGTACTATCCTGTTGAATGGTGCTCGTATGACGATTCATTTTGCTTTTCCATTCTCCGTCAATGAAGCACGAGGATGGCGATGCCCATGTGTATGATCAACCAGAACCGGATTGGGTGAGCAGTTCGTTAAAATGTTATCATGATACAATCCGTGCAGTCGGTCAAGACCAGTCTGAGGTCAGATCTAAGTCCGGATGCCCGGCCGGTTTTCCTCTAATTACGACTGAAGCCTCGATTACTGCCGACTGTCTGGACTTTCTGTTCGATAATCCCGAAGCGGAATCCACACTGACCGGCCCGTTGGCCCCAAGCGCGTTGACCGCACTTTTAAACAGTCTGGCTCAACGTGTCCCATACCCACGACTGAGTGAGGCATTACACTGTGTCCAATTGACCTGGGATCACGTGTTGGCCATGTTAGCTCGCTATCGATCTGACTGTATAGTACTACAAGCGAATTTGGCCGAGGCAAAATCCCACGCGGATCGCATTCAATGTCAGTTGAATCAAATCGATGCCAATTGGACAGCAGCCATGAGAGCAGCGTGGTTAGCCGATGCCTCTTTGGAGATTATTGATTCTCTGAATCAGGTGAGTGTGCTACGTTTGGCTAAAGTGTTAATTATTACTTCTTCTATGCTCTGATTTGTTTAATTTATCCATCTATCCTTCCATTTACCTTGCGCACGATTTGTGAATGATCCAAATCTTCTGTTTGTACTGTTCCTCCTGCTGAAGGTCATTGCACCACCTTAGTTACTTCGTCTGTACACGTGTGGGAGAATGAATAATAGCAATCAATTCTGCATTGCGGATACACCATTTCTCGGTCGGTTTGGTTCAACCCATGAGGCCAGAAACTGTTTATTTATTCTAATATGGCAGGAGTCGGAGGTGTGACAGTTTGACCGTTATGATTGCTGATCTGTTTTCGGCATTTCGCATGCGATCCGGTCCAGAGGGGACTAAACCGAGCAACTGGGCATCACCGTTCAATGACAGGACTGACGACTAACTAACTTGGTGTCCGAATCTACAGGACCGAAAAACAGCGACCTTAAAGATAATGGGGTGTTGTATTCGGTTCTCTCTCTCTCTCTGTATATGTCCCCTACTCCACCCCAATGCAGGCATTGTGTGCTACATGTAACTTCAATCTGACAAACAAACAAGCTCGGGAAGTTTGGCTTTTGGCATGAAATACTTCACTATAAATCAACCCAAATGGTTCAATCATATAGTGGCCCAGACACACAGCACTCGCAGATTCCCATCCAGCATAACTCAATTCGTTCATGTCGATTTCACTTGTGTGCTTCACATTCTAACGTTCGAGATTTGGACTCAGCCATTGGCATCGCACTTCAGTGTTGCATAGTTTCACCTTCACCCAAACCAGTATCACACCGATTTAATTCGGGTTCCCTCGATTTCCACAATTCCATTGTGGGACCTCACCTTTGGCACCATTCATGGCCATAGAATATCTAATTCCGGACAAATCTTCTTTTATCACTTTTACACTTACAACAGCGATGTGAAACGTGACATTGACCAATAAAACCTTAACATGTTTGTATAATGAGCGAGGATCAAGACTAGACTGAAAGTTGAGGACAATTCGAAAAAAATCGATCTGTTTCGCTACGGGAATAAATACGAGTTGGGTACTCTACTGATAGCTCCTGACACCCAGTGACAGAAATCCATAAATTTATCCATGACTGAAATTATTTGCATCGATTGCTCTAATCCCCTTTTCCCCATGTGATAATGTCGTTATTCGCACTGCGATCCGCGCACGCACGCACCTATTTACACCCAAGTGTTGAAGTTGAATTTAGGGACTAGGGTTCAAGTGCATTCAAATCTCAATGCGCCTCTTTCTGGCAATATAAAACTCGGAATAATGACTGTCCATTGAGATCGAATAAACCATTTTCAATGAACATATCTTTCTGGCATAGTTCATGCAAAATGATAACCCGCCCCCCTAGCCTGGTCTGGTTAGAGCGATCTTTTATGAGTCTCACTCCGTCGGTGCACGTCGATTCCCCACAAGTCACGACATTTGTTTTGAATGAGGTGGCGTTTCTTTTGCTCACGATCAAAGTGTACTGAGCAACTGCCTCCCCTGAGTTTAGGACTCATCGACAGTGTTTACTATGCTTGTGTCGTCCAGTGACGAGGGTGGAGTGTGAACTCGAACTGTGAACTATCCGTGATTGAAACTGCCACTCACTTACTTTTTCTTGTGTTGAGCACAATGGATCGTAATATTCTTTTTTTCAACGATGTTGCTGTGCGATCGAATTTGTTCACCGTTTTCCTCTCCTGTCTGGCTTGTCATGTTCCTCTACAAAAATCTACGAGTTCATCAGAAACCAAACAACTCAGTCCGACAATCCCATACATTTTTTGTTTCTGTTCAGAACTCATATCACACGCAGTACACGTGTCTAATAAACACACAACCTGTGACTTGTGTCTGTATTAACCGAAGCGAATTCTCAGTGAGTCTGAGGCTGATATTCCCCATGTCCGTACTCAATCGGTGAGCTCGCGTGAAATGTGCGTTGAATATGAGCGCGTGCTCGTGGACGCACACAATATCTGTACTTGGTCATACAAACACGTAATACAATAGTGCTATTTAGATTGATTGATTG